GTCGTAGCTGAAGGCTATGATTCGCAGCAGCATTGAGATGCCGCCCAGCTTCATCAGCTGGTCCACGGGCTGCCAGTGGCCGCGGATCGATGTGTGCTCCTGGAGAGTGCGTATCTGCTCGTGCAACTGGTCGAAGGTGAGTTTGGCCGCCACTGTGGGGTTCTGGTTGAAGTAGTGCGCCGACGACGGAGAGGTGGAGGTCGCATAGTGCTGCGACAGGAAGCTGTTGTACTTGAAGAAGAAATGCGCCTCCATATAGCGCTTGAGGGCCACGCACACGTGACGCACCATCTGGCGGGAGGCGCACTCCACATCATCGTTGATATCCGAATCGTTGTCGCTGTCATTCTGGCTGGGATCGAGTATCTTCAGCACGGATATCTGCAATATCACAACAGAATAGCTCAATCGGCCTCCATTTAGGAGTTCGTTCAAAGTGTCACTTACAACATTGTAGAGTTTACGGAGACCATCCTGGGCATCGAACTCGTCCAGAATCACCTTGAACTGGAAGCTCAGGCTGAAGAACATGGTGGCATGGCACTTGGAGGAGTCGTGGCAGCGACCCAATATCCACAACGCGTAGCGCACCAGCTCCGAGATGAGGGGACGCTGCATGCTGCATATCCGCTCCATGGCATCCTCGCAGTACGCCAGATAGTAAATGGCAATGGACACGCCCGTGGTGGCCAGACTAGGGCGCGGTACTTTCAGCAGCAGCTAAATGAGACAATGATATGCCGTGTCTATGAGAGATTTTTCCAGAGTTTCCCCCCTCAAATTCACTTACCTCCAGGCCGCCGTGGGATATAAACTCCAGAGCGAATTTCTTGTGGCAAAGCAGGGAGGCCAAGTACTTGAGCACCTCGTAAGCGAGGCACGTGTCGCGGCGATCGAGGTTCTCCAGATAGCCGAATATCAGCTGCATCACGTTGTTCTCGAAGGCCATGGCCAGGAATTCCTGGTACTCGCCGAGGCTGGTGAGGAACCGCATGATCAGCTTTTGGCTGGCATCGGCCGTTGGCGGGTGCAGCGGTATGTACATCCGCTTGTAGTAGCGCGACTGGGAGAAAGCATCGCGGCTGTTCTCGAAGAGAATCGACATGTTGGAGGCATCGCCATGGTTTGAGCTCGCAATGCCGCTTCCGTTGTGCTGCGGCGACTGCGGAGCCGACGCTCCGTTGCCGCAGGCCATCCAACAGAGCAGTCCGCCAGAGGCGCTGCTGTCGGCTGAATAATTTAGCGCCGATGGGTGGTCCGCTGAGGCGCTTTTGCTTATGGCCAGAAGCATGTGCAGGCGCTTGATCATCTTGGGTACCAGACGCATGTTCTGATCGCGATAGTTGATCGCAATGTCGCTGACCTCCATGGCCTCGGCAAGAAGTCCGGTGGCATAGCTCTGGAGCGGCTCGATGCTGTCCTCCGCCCAGCTGTAGATGCGATTGATAGTGCCATCGTCGTTGGCTGTCTGGAAGACGGCAGTTGTCTCCAGACCTGGCATAATCTCCAGGATGAGGCGGCACGCCAGGATGTTCAGCTCCAGGGAGCTGCGACTGATGGTCTGGCGACTGAAGTAGTTCTCGCGCAGATAGTCGTTTAGCAACTGTATGGGTACAAAACACGATTTAATTCGAAGCCAAATATTGGTTGACAGCGCTTCTCACCTTCCCCATGAACACATCTTTGCGGAAGAGCAACTTGAGGAGCAGCCCATACTGGCAGCTGGGATCGGCGCGATATGGATGCCTCGAGTCCAAGGGATCCGGATCCTTGCGCATGTAGGCGTCCTTTTCGCGCTCAAAAATCTCCGCCAGACTACAATTTGTTCATTTATTAGCCCATCAATTTATTATTCTGCATCATCACTTCTCGCCTTACCTCTTCAGAGTGGGCACGGGATCGTAGCCACTTTGAGTCTGCTGCTGCTCCCAGCGGTCGATGATTTGCGTCAGCTCTTTCTTGGTGGACGAGCGCCTATCGGCGGCTGTGTCTTCTTCTTGATTGCCAAAGGCATCGTCGGCGGCGGGGCTGCTGTCGCTCTCGTTTTCCTCAGCGGCTTCCGCATCACCACCGCTCATGGCATCCTCCTCTGCTCCTGCCTCTTCTGCGGCTGCCTCATCATCATTATCATCGTCGCTTTCGTATGCAATTGCCACAGCTTCGGCCATCGCTATGATAGCCTCTCTCTCGGCTTCCGCATCAACGTCCTCCTGCGCCGCCCCGGCCAGCGCCTCGTTACCGTTTTCACCGCCCTCTGACATCGTCAATGTGGACAAAATGTGAAAATACGTTTAACGCGCACCAACAGATTCACAGCAGTCTCACGGTTAGTAAATAATTTAGTCAACTTGCGAAAATAAAGCGTGCGGCATACCACGCGCTCGAGCCGATATATCGATGGTTTGAGCAATCGATGCTGAAACCATGCAGCCCTGGTCGTTAGGTGGGGAAACAATGAAGCCGGGTCGGGTCTGATGTTTGTTATTTTTTCGAATGTTTTTTTTTGTTGACACTTCGTACTTCTCTTATGGCTGTATGATACTAGACTTTGATAAATTTGCTGCGAAGAGAGTAGAAAAACACATAATTAGAGTGCGTAGCCGGCTATTTGAGGCATTATTTTTGACAATATTATGCTTTCCAGCCAGCAAAACGGAACAACTGGATCGCCAACTGAACGCCAACTGGTTTTTGCAGCTAGTCAGTTCCCAAAGTCTAATCTCACACAGCTATTAACATTAAACCAAAAGGTGCTGCCACTTCGCAGTCGTCTGGCAGTCTGGTTTGATTTGTGACGACCGACCAGATCGAGAGAAAAACAAAATCCTATTGTTTTGTTTTGGCGGTGCCATTGGCTTTATATTCATTTGTCAAATCAAAGTATAAAGTGCAGTTTATGTAATGGGTTTCCTGTATATTCTGGGATGGATATCCCTTGGTATCCAGATCACGTTCCTTACTCTGTCCATAGGTGAGCTGCTCTGTTTTGTGTGACGCCCATTGTTTTGTGTCGACGTCTGCAATGTTCTTCCAGTGGCAGGACTTTACTATTTGGCGGAACTCGCGGAAGAGTACACGACACAGGCGCGGCGGTGCATTCTGTTCATGATCAGCTTTACAATCTTTGTGTACATCATGCTGATGATTTTCGAGGAGTTCCCCTGGAGCATGCTGCTGTGCGGCTTTGTGGCGCAAGGCTTCCACCTATCGATAATGGGAGGTTTTCCATTCATACGATTGCTGTCTGTGCCCTTCCTGGGCTCCCTCGTCATGCTGGTGGTCAATCATTTCCTAGCATTTCAGTATTTCACCACCGTCTATGTGCCTTTCACTCAGGTGAGTGCCTTGGGGAGTTGGACTGAATTAAGTGACTGATCACAAATATTGCTTTTAGGTGCTTGCCTACTTCACCGTTTGCATGTGGATCGTGCCCTTCGCCCTGTTCGTCTCGCTCAGTGCCAACGACAGCGTCCTGCCCACGGTGAATGAGCAGAGCAGACGGAGCCCGGACGTGGTCAGCAATTATTTCTCGCGGAACAAGAAGCAGGGGCTGCTCTCCCTTTTCAACTATATGAAGGAGCAGCTGCTCCCAGCGCGGAGCAAGAAGGCGTTTTAGAACTTACATATTCAGAGATGTGTGCAAATAGGAATGCGAATGATCTAGTATCTAGAGTAGTTCCTTTGATTATTTATTTTTTGTACCTATAAACCAGACAAGCGAGCAAGTATACATACGTAGATAAATGCAAGATGCACATTCCTTTATTAATGGCCAACATTTAATTTTAAACGAATCCCTGTGAAAATAGAAATATAGTACGAGATTTACTTGGACTGAGCCTTAACACTGCCATCGGCCATGCCGAAGTAGCACTTGTGGGCCATGTCAACGAAGAGTCCCGTCTCCAAGACGCCTGGGATCATGGTGATGGTGCGATTCACTTCATCCCAGTTGTACTCTCGCTTGCCAACGAACTTCCAGTCGAGCAGAAAATTGCCATTATCGGTTATAATGGGTCCAGCCTTTACCTTTGCCATGCGCAGTACGACCTCGCCACCAAACATGGCCTCGATCTGCAGCTTTATGGGAACTTGGGCCATGGGCGCAACCTCAATTGGAACGCCCCTGCACCATTGCTCGCCCAGATGCAACGATTTCTTCGTGTAGTCGGCCACCACAATGAACTTTTTGGAGCAGGCGGCAACAACCTTCTCCTGCAGCAAGCAGCCACCGCCGCCTTTGATCAATACCATATTCGAGTCCACCTCGTCGGCCCCGTCGATGGCCACATCGATGATGGGATTGCGATCCACCGAGCCCAAGTTTAGATTGTAGTCCAAGATCAGATGCTGGGCCTGGTAGGACGAGGGCACACAGATCAGGTCCGTCAGCTCGCCATCCTTCCAGACACGCTCTGCAATGCGCTGAACCGCGTACACGACCGTCGAGCCGCTTCCAATCCCTACAATTTTTGTGTCCTCCTTCACCCACTCGTCCACGGCCGTGCGTGCGGCCTTCTTTTTGGCCTCGTCCAATGAAATCTCGTCGCCCATGTTCCTTGTCTGTGCACCCAATAAAAGCTGCTGCGCGTTCAAAAAATGTTGATTGAAATGTGGTTGCGATAAACCCCGACGAAGTAAACCCAATAACATGTGGTGATGTTAGTGGTTTAAAAACTTCAATGTCAAATGTCGTGGGACGATATACCGATGAAACAACGAACTTAGCCTACTCAAGCCCTCGTTTTTAAACGGAACAGAAACTTTAGTTTAGCCGTGGAATATAATACTAATAATAATTACTCTTGTAGGTCCATCTTATTCTTCATCTTTAGATAAAAATAACCACGACTATCTTTTACCCAAACTTTGCTAAAATTCTTCAAGGCATCATTTTCGTGGAGGGTATTTTAGTACCCACTGGTGGACAATGGGTTAAGCGTCTGTTATGCGCTTCACAGAAATGTTAGCTGTTCTTATTTGAAATTAGGCGCAATAAAAATAGCTAACAGCTATTTTATTTTATTATTATTATATCATATATTCATTTTCAAGTTAATAACTATCATCTTGGATTGTTGAGAGAGATACTTCCTTGAGATACTGCGAGTAATCATAGGTAACAACCTTGGGGGCAAAGAAGCCTCCGGAACCAGGACGACTCTTGTAAAAGATGCCTAGGCCGGCCAGAGGTACTGCCGGATGGGGCACAACCTCCTGCACATCAATGAAGGGCAAAGTGTTCTGGGACGCGTCTTTCACCTTGCTGGAGCTGAAAAAGTTCATATACTGATTCGATGTGGACAGCGGCAACGAGGGCTGATCTGCGGCTGTGGGCACATCAGCCTCTTTGACGATCAGCTCTTGACGTGGCTTTTCGATGGTTTTCTCCGTGTTGCTGTTGTTCAACCAGACGCTGTTGCGCTTCGGTTCCACCAGGCGTCCAGTGGGGAAGTCGAAATAGCTGAACCGCACCTCCAGGTTGAGGTGCTTGTGCCAGACACGAAAGCGGGCCCCAGTCACCACAAGGGAGCGGTTCGAGCCGGAAGTTATCTCGTCCAGGTCCATGGCGCGGCTGTCGACGGTGAGAGTGTGGTAGTCGTAGTCGTTGCGAACATCCACATCGTTAAGGTGGTATGAGTCTAGCGGCAGCCATTCTAGAGAGGACACATTGATTGCTCCACGAGGCAAGAGCTCGCCCTGCTGCAGCTGCAAGTGAAAGACGCGATTACTCTTCACGAAGCGCACACCTGTTACCACCTTGTTCTCCATGAAGTCCGACAGCGAGTCACGCAGGTTAAAGTAGCGATCAGAGAGAGGTCCCTGCTCGTCGCACAGGCAGAAGCAGTAGGAGCAGCGCCAGAGCATATAGTACCACCCTGATGAGGCCGTTTTAGTGGCCGACTCGCATCTGCCGTTGGAGCTCTTCCTGCCGAGAGTTGCCCCATCATCAGATTGAATGTATTCATAGCGTCGCGAAGAGTTCCCCTCAGACGGGCAGATCTCCACATCCGAGTCCATGTCGTCGCAGTTATAGAGTCTTCCGTTGCAAGGCGTCTGCTTGCCGCAAAGCTCTTTGTCTCCCTTGTAGCAGCCATTGGAGCGAGTGTCCGGATAGTCGCCACAGGTACCCCAGCATCCCTGGTTCTCGCCCAAGTTGGCCTCGTTCTCCACGTAGCCCTGCAGGAGACGCGTAGCCCGATCGTAGGTCTCCCCGGAGACGTGCTTATCCTTTCCGGGATCACAGCGCCAGTAGACACGCCCGCTGCGAGCCATCACCTGACTAAGAACCCTCACGGAGGATTCCATACGCCGGGCGTAGTTATTGCGCATCAAAGCTATCTCCTGCGTGAAGTTGCCCTTCCCGAGCTCCCGCTGGATCATCCAGGAGAACTCCATCATACTGTAGGCCTTGAGCTCGGTGAGGGCTACACTTGTGTAGAGCTGAAATGGAAATTGCTGGGCCGAGTGTTTGGCCATGCACATCTGTCCCGGTGATTTCTCGTAGTTAAGCGTCAGTTGAGACAGCAGCGTGTTGACAAAGTCGGTCTTGTTGTCCGCCTGCCCCTCATCCTCAAATAGAACCGAATGTATCAGCTCCAGCTGCATAGCCAACGAACCTGGGCCTGGGTCCACGTTCCACTCGGCAAATTTTAGAAGCGTGGCCGGCTCAAGAGCATGCTTATGCTGGATATAGTCTCCCAACTGTGCGTACCGCGATTTTACGATTCTGGTGAGGTCGTTGACCAGATTCAGCTTGTGCTGTAGCTGGGATTGCTGGTGGAGCTCCTGGATCAAGGTCTCGATGGTCAGGGCAGTGCGAAGAGATTCCATTTGCTCCAAATTACGGATGTGGTCATCCACCACCTCGATGCGGTTCATCAGTTGGCCCTGCTTGTCATGGGTGCCGGTGACCTTATCTTCTAGAGACTCTACCACATCACAGACCTTTAATATTGCGTTGGTCACATCTCTGATCATCTCTATTATATCCACGGCCCTGTGAATCACGCTGTGTGCGGGTGGGATCAATAGGAAGGCAAACACCAAAAACAGCTTGAGTCGCATCGTATATTCGCTGTAGAAGTGTTGAAGTTAAATGAAAATGAAGCTCTTCAGATTTCCGCTTACTCAGCCGTCGAAAATGTTTATGCAGTCAAGAAAAAATAAATCTTTCGTTCAGCAGAAAAGCGAATTGAATTTGTCCGCGATTGCGACTGTAGTTTCGGCTTTGAATACAATTGTTATATTTGAAAACTGCACATCTGCACATATGTATGTACATATGATCGCTGTCGGAAGAGCGCCGTGCTCAGTATTGCATTTCATGTATGAGTTAATCCTTCTCTCACACGAGTACCGCAATGTGTCGTTCGCTCTGGCTCTCTCTGCGCTCAGAAAAGACAAGCGCTGGAAGGAGATGGCAACAGTGTTGCCATTTTATCCTATTTAAGGCTAGATCTAGCTTATTTGAAAACGGAAAAGCTTGAAAAATTATGAAAATGCTTATTGCCTTAAATCTAGCCTTTTTTCATTTCACTTTGTTTATGTTTGCCCTTTTATATCCTACATATATTTTTAGGCAAATCGAACAAAAAGTATATTTGTTGTACATATTTTGGTGTATCATGGTATTTTAAAATTCATTTATATTGTATATTTTCGTTGAAAAGTTTCGGTCACTACTACACAGAAACTTGGCGATCGTGTGAAATGTGTAATTGTGTAAAATTGAGGTGCAAGGATTTTATAAAGGAGCTTATTATCCAACTCAGAGAAAGGTAAGCTTCAATAGGATTTGATATTAAAAATAAATAAAAATCTGCTGTTTAATTTCAGACCTCCAGATAATTTCGAGACATTGGAAAAACTGCACGTTTTTGCAGCAGAAAATGTACTCGAACATAATAAAAATCCTAATGATCTCATTTCCATATTGGAACACTTCAACTATAGCAATATAGATGGAATTCTTGCCCAATGTGGCAAAATTCACGTAGTCCCTTGGCAAAGTACAGATGACACTATAAAGCTTTGGTCAGAAGTACTGACTTATAAAGATGCTGGAAAAAACAAACCTCTTGAAGAAATCGCTTTATTTGCCATTGAAATTTTAAGTCTACCGTGGTCAAATGCTGCCATTGAACGTGTAATCAGTCAAATAAATATCGTTAAGACCAAGCTTAGGAACAAAATGACTGTTAAATACTTAAACTCAATATTAAATATAAGGTTTGTTTTAGTAATATTTAATTGTCTGATGAATACGACTATAATTCTTTTGAATTTTACAGATATGGATTGCGCCGTCATGGCAAATGTTGCCCCAACTACCAATTACCGGAGAAATATTTAAATTTAATACGTTCCAGCGATAAATACCGATAGCGATAAATACCGATTCGAGTAATAGCGAGTTGGATAAAATTATAACACAATTAGAAATGTGTATATCTATGTGCTTTTTTTTTATTTTTAGCCTATTTTTTGGCATGTTTTTTACAATTTTTAGCTTGTGTTTTTGTGAAATGTAGCTTATTTTGACGCTCAAAATCTTGCAACACTGGATGGCCAACGATTGCGTTCTGCACTCTGGCATTGTTATTGTTTTAGCTGACAGAAAAGGAAGATGAGAAATACAACGATACACTGAAAGCAATCTTTTAAACGTAACAGTAGATGCTAGAGGATGAGAGGGCACATGAGAGGGCACATGAGAGGGTACACAAATAGTTCGTACACAAATACAATGGTAGATACATACATACATATGTATGTATATTGGAAGATCGTTAGCATAGGAATGAACGGGCACGGGCAGGATCCGTTCCACTTTACATGGCCTGTTATACAACATTGCAGCTAACATTCTCTTTGCAGCGATGTTTCAGCACTAAATGGTTTCCTGGGTGCACTCGTGCGATTCCATTAACAATGGGAATAGCAACAATACAAAACTATTTTTAAAGTTAAGCGCTGGCCACGATAAAGGCAGAAAATGGCAGCAAAAGGAATTGAAAGCATTTAGTTGTGACTTACTGCGGTACGGCGACGACGATGGCCGACGATGGCCGAACGAAAGCCATAAAGGGGAATCCCCACAAAAGGCTGCTAGCCCCGTTGTTGCATTCTGGCTTATGTACGAGTGTGTCTGTATGTGTGTATGCCCGGAATATTTGAGGAAATTTAATACTTTTAGTGCACAAAGCAAAGCTGTTGGCATTGCCATTGCGATAAAGCTGAAAAGCAGCAGAGCACAATTACAAAGGTGATTGCAATTTCTCTCTTTCGTGGTGGGAGGAAAACGGTGATGAGTTATCCCTGAGTGGGTGCAGCGAGGAAGAGGGAGAGAGAAAAGAATTTGTGTTAATGGATTTCACTTTTTAAGAAATAAATTACTATCTCAGGTCTGCAAAGAAGCCAGTGGCTAGCAAGAGGAAGAACCACCGCAAACAGATTTCCATCCAGCTTGCATGATTTGATGGGATTTTGACTCATTAGCAAAAGAGGAGACCACATAGTCTGAAAGGAATCGAAAGATCTGCTTATGCATATGCGTCTTCCACCATTACTTCGCTGGAAATGGAACTCTACTATATATCGGCAAGTGTTCGTAGTTGCCCAAAGTAAACAGCAATTAAGCGAAACAAAACCCCGACCGACAGCAAACAGTAATGAATACTCGTATATCAGGGGAAAAACAGCAAATGCAAATTGTTAATTAAAGAAATGGCATTGTTAAATGCGCCCCATGTGGCATGTTTCGGGCCAACACCTGAACAGCCCACAGTTCTCGGCTGTGCCCCACAATTACGTGCTGAAAAAACAAAAATTTGGCAAAAACGAAGGGGCAAATGGACCTGCGACCCAGATGCAGCCCCACTGACATCCATTATGGCAGCCCCGCAGCAACTCAAATGGGGGAAAAAAATTCATAGAGGCAGGCCAGGGCGGAATGGGGCTGGGCAGGGCTGGACAGGCTCTCGTTGCTTCTTTTGTGAGAATTATGATTCTCTGGGCTGATGATGACAATGTCGGGAACTGCAACGAACGACTTTCCAATGGGTGCGATTTATAATTTGATTAGCGCATCGCTGAATGCACACGAAAACGAGGGAGGGAGCGGCCCTCGTATAATGCCGTCGAATCGCGCTCAAAAGTCAAACGGGAAGTGCAGCCAAGTGCATTGAGCGCGGGATGGAGGCGAGAGCGGAAATCGGCACAGAATCTGAATCGGGCACCATTCTCGTCCTTATCCCTCATCTACTTAGAGGCCCAATGCAAAATGGAGCGGGCCATCACACTCCGTTGGCTGACAATGACAAATGATGATGGAGCAGAGGACCAGAGGACATGCCTCGCTCCTGGGATAAAAAGTTCTCTCGCTTTTGGCTTTCAATTAATCCGGCCAAGTGGCGCTTTTATTGAGCCTAGGCCTTGTAGGCCCCTGATTATCAGTTGTGTTTTGTCCAACGGAGCGAGGATGCCAGAAAAAAACAGAGACAAATATCTGGAAAACTGCGAAAAAAGCCATTCACAAATCTCCACCGTTCTAAAGGGTTTTACCCGACCACAGACACAAACAAAGACACAAAGGCGGCCAAATTTGCCTGCCATTCATTAAACAATGAACAACAAATCCGAGCTGGGGGCGTGGCCGTTGAGCCTGCCCCCACATAGATAGATTAATGGCCGCAAACAAAGCCGACGAAATCAATTTATTATACGGCCGACAGTTGACCGCAGGAAAAACTGAGAAGCCGAAACAAAAGCGGAAGGCTTGCGGGGAACATAACGAGCAAAATGAATTTAATTCTCCAGCAGGGAGGGTTCTCGGAAAGATTAGACATGGAAATTTGGAATCCTTGGAGGACAAATCTGCAGGGCAAGCCTATAGCTTAACCTTGCGCAATCCATCGGGAGTGCAGCAGTTGTAAGTGTCATTGATACGACTCAGTCCCAGGCGAGACAGTTCCTCCTGCTCCCACTCGTACTCCTGGTCGAACAGCTCCTGCATTCGCTGGCGTCGCGTCTTGGCGATCAACTGCACGGCGGTGCTCAGCTCCAGGCTCATGGGCTTTACCAGATCATTGATGATGGGATTGTTCGAGGTGATCAGCGACGAGTCGCGGCTGTTGAGCAGCGAAAGACTGTTCACGGAGGTAAGCGACGGATAAGCTGCCCAAATAATGGTTAATCCCCACAAGTCACTTACAAATCAGCAGGCATCTTTGGATTCCGGGTTTGAGCTGGCACTGGAACACGTTTACTCAATATCGAATCGATGAAATACTGTTGTACCCTGTCAGACAATCTTCTCTAAGCCTTCTTGAAGGGGTTTTTTTTTCCAAGTCTGCCAATCAATAAACCACTATCCAACAAATGGTGTAGAGGACTGACACTCGACCGCATTTAGCACTCTAGTGAAGGTCCAGCAAATGAGCTACTTAAGAGGAACTGCCACAGGATGGGGATAAGTGAATAAGCAGGTAAGATATAATTGAGTCCAGGCCATAGAGAAATGTTAATGAAGAATGAAACGATACTAATAAACATTTACCCCGAAGTTGGGCTACACATTTCGCCTTTTAGGGAAGGAGCTACAAGCCAGGCACAGCCTCAGTACCCGCTCTGGTAATCCCGAGAGTGGGGCGCACAAGGAGAAGATTGGAAAACGAAATCGTTGCTGGGCCACTTTTGGCACCGGCTACACTGAGACACTATCAAAGTCATGTTCGATGGGGGGAACAGTCAGGTGTGTAATTGCAATCCGAATTGGTCAAGTGTAACAATGTAAAGACGCCTCGCCTGGCCACACTCGGACTCGGAGGGGGGTTGGGGCGGTGCCACACGCCAGTTACCGTCTCACACCTGCTGCCATCCGGGGGAATCAATTTGATCCTTGAACTTATGCAGCCAGCAAACTGAAACTTGGCATCGCAATGCCTTCGATGGGGGGCATTGCAGCCGTTTTGGGGAACAAAATCAGATTGCAAATTGCAACTGAAAATGTCACGTGCATCGACACATTTTTTGGAGGCAACTGTGTCTCCCTGTGTTCCTTTGTCCCTCTTCCAAAGCCGAGCCAGACCGTGCGGAGACCGAGAGGAGATGTCGTGACATTTGGTCGAGCACAGCGCCCGTTTGGGCCCGACATGAAGAAAGGTTATTGCAATAGTCTCCGCCAAAGCAATCAATGGACGCCAGACATGAACTCCCGGGGTGCATGTGTTGGAGCGGATAGCACGGAAAGCACGGATATCACGGAGGGGCAGGACGAACACGGGCATGGGCACCTGCTCTCTTTGCTGCTGCTGCTCTTGCTGTTGGTACACTCTTCGCACTGGGTGGCAGGCCCCATTCATTATGTTGACCACGCTGTCGCATTTTGCTACGTGACATTTTGCTAACTGCCCAGAAAATGGAGCGAATGCCGCTGCCGCACTTGGACCATTGTCATGGCATAGTCCACTCCAGCTGCGACTGCGGCTGCTCGTCAGGGATGGCAATGTCTCGATTACACAGCGCTCTGTCAATCCATCGTTCTCTATGGAAGTTGTTTGCAACAGCGATATATGATCGATTTTCTATAGGATATTTCTAAAAGAGGGAGGTCCCTTCCTCCATCATCTAATGGGTGCAATGGGCTTGGTCTTGACTCAGAATCGTCTGTCCTTTGGTGGGTAAGTGTTCTCGTTCCCCGGTGATGTGTGCTGCTGAAATTTATCCAATTGCATTGCCATTACAATATACAAAGTTATGGCAATGTCTCTCCAGAGAATGGCGAATCACAGGCGGAACAGTGCAGAATCAGAGCGAAGAAGTTGCTCGGGATTTGTATCGGAATTGCAGTGGAGTCCGTTTCAAATTGCAAGTAAATAAAGCGTCTGGCAGACAGCAGAAACACCTCCCACGCCAGAGTTGAGTTATGGACGTGCTGGGAGCAGGAACCGAAGCGTACACAACACCCGGAACATGCTGGAGGCGGGAAGGGAAGGGCCTTGGCAGAGGGATCTCTGGCATGGCGAGGCGAGGCGAGGCGGGGCAAAGTAAATGTGCAAGCATTTATTTATGTGGCTGTGGTGCACTTTAAAGCGCCGCAATTGCCCTGATTCGGGACAATAGTACAAATCCCGTTGTACAGGACAACAGGAGGACATCCAGTACAAGTGACACTGGTAGTTTGGGTCCCCGCAAAGAGTTTGTTGTGAGACTTTCAGCTTGCTTTACAAATTCTAATTTCAAATTGTTCGGAAAACACACAGAATGGCACTTTATCCATCTGCTCTTGAAGTTGCAAAGAAATGTGTCCCAAGCACTTTGGGCACTGCAGAAAACTGGCTAAAAGCTCAATTTTATGATAAACTTTCGGGTCAAGTGAACACCAAACAAAGGACACGAAATGTATACTTAATAAGTACTCCCTAGCCCACCAACCTATCAATTTATCAAGCGAATTGCTGTTGAATCAAGCCGAAACTTTATCCACCTGGTGGCAGGACCTGCAGGAGCCCGACACACCCGAACACGCATTTCAATTTTAATGAGCCCTCGACAGAGGGAGAGAGAGAGGTCCTGCTCCTTTTTGGCCTAACTTTAATTAACAACAAAAGTCATGGTCCCTGCAAAACAGCACCAAAACGAGAGCTAAACCTGATGAAAAACCTTAATTTGTGGACAACGAGAGCGGAGCAACAAAAGAGATGACATAAAAAGACACATGAGACCAGAAGCGCATTTCGTATGGCAGTGGGCTTCCAAGGAGCGCACAAAGAGTCGCTACCAAGTAGTTTCACTTCCTTTTTTGGTCTTTTGGTCCTTTTTCCCATGCTGCATGCGCGTGCGTGCGTGTGTGTGTGTGTGTGTGTGGCACGTCCCTGGCCATCAACAAGGGGTTTTTTTGTTTTTTCTTTTGGAGGATGGAAGTTTCTGCAGTTGGCGTTAAAAAAGCGGAAAATCGCAGCACATTTTTGCTTTTTAATTAAGCCCTCAATTTTTTATGTTCCATTCGAAAGCGACATGCCGTGATTCCACCTCCTCCGCGGCCCCACCATTCCCACTCCAGGCAGAGGAGGAGGGCATAGTTTACTTTTTCAAAGTGCAACAGAAACTGGAATTGTTAATATGCGGGACTGCGTTCTGGAGGGCAGAGCCATAAGAGAGAGAGAGAGAGCATGTCGAATTTGACAAATTTCACACTGAAGGAGGCCCTAATTAAATGGCACTCGCTTAGCCTTCTTTCAGGGTCTCGTTTTTGTTCTTGAAAAAATACAATTAAAGAACAAAACATTCACGCAAGTCTGATTTCAGTTCTATCATATCTTTTCGGTGAACTTTGTATTACAATTCCCCTACCATGGCAAAATGAGGAAAGGCTTTTATAGGTTCTTATACACAAATGTCCGATTACTGATCGGTGATCACTGATCATGCCTGATCCGCTCCAATCGTTCGTTGCAAGAGAGCGTCAACTGACGGCATGGCCATAAATAAAGCCGTCTGCCCCGGAGTGCGTTCAGTACGGTGAACATTTTTGGAAGGTGAAGAACAGAGCATTTTCAGTTTATTTCGACTGCGAACAGTGGAGAGTACATATATACGTGATCGCAGGTAGAATTTTGAGCGGCGTCAACGTTGTGATTATTTGAAGCTGCTGACAGAGGGCGATCGTTGAACTGGGACGTGACTGCAGTCGACCGAAAAACCTGTAACCGGGGTACCAGAGCACTCAAGTCGAATATCTAATACGGTTTTAAGGCCCGAATGAACCAACATGTGCCACTTTTGGGGCAGAAGCCCAGCAAAGACATGTATTGCATCTGGAAGGAACTAAAGACCCAATCCTCGTGTTCGGGATCTGTGCCGTCTGGACCGGACAGCTCCCTGCGCAATGCGATCTTATAAGAGGCTACGCGAATCTCTTGGTGGTCAGGCACTTGGAGCCCAGTCTCCACCAGCTCATCCGGCTTAGGCGGCAAACGGCGCAGCAACACAATCTCCAGGTGCACGTGCAATAAGCTTCTGCCATCGTCGCATTCTTTCGTCTTCAAATGTATGGGTTTCGATAGCTCCAAGCCCTCTGGTCCCATCAGGTTGGCGTACACACTTTCCCTCTGGGCGATTCCGTACATGGTCAGGGAGAATTCCTCCGTGCAGAAGCTTCGAATGCGCTTCCAGTCTATGCGACGCACTGCCTCCAGCATCGCGAGGGTTGCCTGACACGTTCCCTCCAGGAATTCCTCCGCGCTGAAGTCCGGCCCGAGGATGTAGCGCAGCCTCCACAGGAGGTAGCGCTCCTGGAGATATAGCCGAGCCAGGTTCAGGTGGTCCTTGAGCTGGCTCACCTTTACAGGTGGCTCGTGGCTAAACTGTCGGCAGCACGGGGCCGGGGTTGGGGTAAATGGTTGCTTCCCTGCAACAATAATTTTGGTGGTGGCGCGCAGAACATTTAGGAACATTTTGGGGAAAATTATTAATTGGGAATCCTGTATATAAGTATGTATGTTTGACTGTATGCTCTCTCAGTTCCATTGCCACAGCATGCTCGGATCTACTTCCATTTACTGCCTGCTTTTACTGCTGATGCCTTCTGCCAGCCTGGCTGTCTACGATCATTATCGGCTGCCCACCGCCCTGGAGCCACAGCACTATGATATACGCATCCTGACCCACCTGAATGCCTCCGACCTGCGCTTCGAGGGGGCTGTGAGGATCGATCTGCTTGTCCTCCAGGCCACCAGAAACATCACGTTGCATGCGCGGAATTTGCGGATAGACAAGTCTGGCATTTCGCTTACTGGTGGAGAGGAGAGGCAGTGCCTCTCCGACATGGATATCGAGCTGAATGAGGTATACGATTACTACACGCTGCACCTGTGTCGGGATCTGGAGTTGGGTCAGACCTACCAGCTGACGATGCACTTTGAGTCGTCGCTGAATGCAACAGAATCGGGCTACTACAACAGCTCCTACACGGACGCGGCATCCCAAGAGAAACAGTGAGTATTGCTGCTCTTTGACAAACGATGGCCGGTTTCCTGATCGCACGTTTCATTCATTAGTTACTTGGCAGTAACACAGTTCTCTCCGACGTTTGCCCGCCAGGCGTTTCCCTGCTTCGATGAACCCCCATGGAAGGCCACTTTTAACGTTACCCTGGGCTACCACAAACGGTACACGGGCCTCAGCAACATGCCGATCCGCCAGTGCCGAAAGCAGTAAGTATACGATCATACTGATCTACTAAGCCTCTCTCTTCTTTTCCTCGTCACAGTGAAAGCCTCCTTGACTATGTCTGGTGCGAGCACGAACAACTGTCGAGGACATCCACCTACCTGGTGGCCTTTGCGGTCCACGATCTGACCAACGCGGCCACCGTTCAGAGCGACACCAAGAACAGGGTGATCTTCCGCAATTGGTTGCAGCCCAAGGCGGTGGATCAGGCCAACTTCTCCATCGCCATGGCCCCAAGAGTTATCGGCTACTTTGAGGATCTCTTTCGGGTGGACTTTCCGCTGAGAAAGATCGACCAGCTGGCAGCGCCCACCCACAGGTTCTCGGCCATGGAGAACTGGGGACTGGTCACCTTCAAAGAGGCCAAGTTCGTGCACAGCCCGAAGGATCTGCAGGCGGCAAGGGATGGCAAGGCCAAGACGTTGGCCCACGAGTATGCGCATCAGTGGTTCGGCAACCTCGTGACCATGAAATGGTGGAACGATCTCTGGCTGAAGGAGGGCCCATCCACGTACTTCGCCTATCTGGCCCTGGATGCCCTGCAGCCCGATTGGTGTTGCGGCGAGCGATTTATAGGAGAGGACTTGGAACGTTTCTTTCTTCAGGATTCGGCCAGCTCGGCGCGCGCCATTTCCCGAGAGGTGAAGGATCCTGCGCAGATCCTCGGGCAGTTCTCAGAGTACGTCTATGAGAAGGGCGCCCTGATCATGCGCATGCTGCACAAGATGATCGGCGAGGAGGCCTTCTTGCTGGCCATTCGCTCCTATCTCTCCGTACACTCCTTCGGAAATGTGGAGCAGGCTCATCTGTGGCAGTCCATGCAGGCGGCAGCCGTGGAGGAGAAGGTGCTACACCCTGACTTCAATCTTGGTCGAGCCATGGACTCGTGGACGCTGCAGGGGGGCTATCCACTGGTCACCGCTGTTCGGGACTACGAAACGGGAAGCGTGAGCCTCAATCAAACGAGATTTTACCTGGAGAAAGGCCTGAGGGAAGGCGCCGCCACAGGCAACTGCTGGTGGGTGCCGCTGAGTTTGGTCTCCCAAAATGATCCCGACTTTGAGCGCACTCGTCCCCAGTCTTGGCTGGAGTGTCCCACCTCTGCACACACAGTGGAACTACCCCTCAGTACAGCACTCAATGAGTGGTTCATTCTGAATCCCCAGGTCAGTGTCATCTATCGGGTGAACTATGACGAGCACAACTGGAGGATGATCATCAGTACTCTGGCAAATGATCCAAGCTTTGGGGGCATCCCCGGGTACAACAGAGTCCAGCTAATGGATGATCTGATGGCCTTGGGTGCGGTAAAACTCCTCAGCTACGACTGGGCCTTCGACCTTTTCGAGTATCTGCAGAGGGAGGAGGAGTTCCTGCCCTGGAAGAGAAGTCTGGGCCTCTTAGACCGCCTTGGAATGTTATTGAGTGGTCGGCAGGCAACAGAGTTCAAGGTAGGCTCGAAGATGGTCCTTTTAGGACTTTATTCTATCACCGTTTCTTCCAGGTTTACATGGCAAAGCTCCTCACAGCGCCGTATAGCCGCCTGCCCAAGCTGGGCGCCATCACGAGTATGTCCTCGACCAACAGGGAGGTGTCCTTAATGCGGCTGATCTACGCTCAGGCCTGTCGCTACCGCGTGGACGACTGCGTGGCCCAGGCCAGGCAGGCCTTTTTGCGAGATTCAAATGGTTTCCTGGAGCTTCCCGCCGACTTGCAGGAGGTGGCCTACTGCACCGCCATCGAGCAGGGCGGCGAAGCGAACTTCCAGCACGTGATGCAGCTCTTCAGGAACTCGACGAATGCCCCCCAGCAGGGAATCTATGCGTCGGCTCTTGGCTGCAGCCGCAACATCAGTCTGCTTGGGGAGTTCCTCGACTACACGCTCCAGTCCGAGAAGGAAGAAGTCAGCGATTGCTACATGCTGACCGTGAAGACCGCACTGACACGTGAGAACGTGGCCATCGAGGCGGCCGACCACATTCTGTCCCATGCCAAAAGACTCACGTAAGTGTGGGGGGAAATTAAGCCAAAAGAACACCGAAAAACCGAATAATTGATGACTTTTTCACAGCGAAAAGTTCAAGAAACGGCAGCTGACGAGCCTCCTGCAGACCCTGGCTGGAAATCTGCACAGACCCGAAGATTCGGCAAGACTGAAGGAGCAATTGAAGGACTTGAAGCAGTTCGAGGAGCCCCTCCAGAAAGCCCTCGATATGGTGAAGGTGAACCAGCAATGGCAAAGGGATTGCTCCGGCGATTTCAGCCAGGCTCTGGGGAGGCATATCTAAGAACCATACACAGCCCATGTCCAATAAACGGGGAAATCCCCCTCCTTTCGCAAGTTCTTGAAGGAACGAACGTAGTCCGAGCCAAATGGCGACACGCGTCAAGTCAGTCTCAGGCTCAGGGCTGTCAGGGCCCCCTTGTTCTTGGTATTAATTAAGGCAATGGTGATGAAATCTTGGAACTAGCATTGAAAGGAGGAGCTGGCCTCACGGGCTGTCAGAAACGGGTCCTGTCCCGGCTTTGACTTGTAAATTGCTTGACACGGGACACACACCGACACTATCCATCTCTCCACCTCTCCAGTCCCTGGACTCCGCCTCGGAACACAAACAGACGTTCTGGCATTTGACGTTTACACGGGTACGTCATAACATGTCCTGCCCTCTCCCCATGGGTGGAAATCGGAATCGAAATGGAGATGGCAGTGCCAGTGGCACTGGATCAGGAGATGAACAATGGGAAAAAGTTGTCCCCGCCATTTACTTATCCCTTTTGTTTGGCTTGGAGCTACTCCGAGCTGCTGTCATCTCTGCTCCATCGACGGCTGCCAATTAGTGAAATTAATCGTTTGCAATTGATGTGCCAAAGGGATAAATGGATGGCACTGGCAACAGGAGACGAGACTTAGGGCATCAATCAGTTGAAAGTATCTGTCAGCTTCCACTATTATGAGGGCATTGTGCAATCTTGTATCAATTACACATCACAATGCATTTGACAACAGATCTAGGCTACTACTGCGAGTATAAGCAGGCAATTAGAAACAATTGACTGAACTAAATGGATATAGATTGACATTGAGGGGATTCCTGCCCAAAGAGATAATTGTAGATTGGGTAATCCTTGCTTTCGCTTTAAAGCAAATGCCTTCGAGTACTCATTGGAAAACCATTGATGATGAAACCACAAAGAGAATCGTTGGTCATACATATGTAAGCCAATAAAGGTTCGAGTATATGTATAGAGTACATATCACATAAATATGTGTACATAGTTTCTTCATTGCATTCATAAATGCAAATGAAAAGTGGCGCTGTCCTGTCAGATAAATTAACGCTATTAATGCTTGTTAAAAGCGGTTATTAAATTAATTAAATGTGATGTCAGCTGGACGTGTGTGCGCTCTGTGGCCCAGTGTACGAGCGGGAGTACGGCTCTGAGCACACACGGATGCGAGTACGGACACGGACTATTGTATTTTAAATATTTATGCTGGACATTGGCATTTTAGCGCTACTTTTTGCTTATTTATTTATCACAAATTAATTGAATTGGAGCGTCGCGAGCGTCGCGAGCGGAGTGGCAGCTTAATATCGTTCACCTGTCAAATTAGTTGCCACAGGCACCAGACATCAGACATCAGGCATCAGACATCCATGAAATTGTTATGGAAATAGCCGTCGAAAATCCAAGTCGGCCACAGACCACAGGACATTTCTAGCTGTCCTACTCCTTTGGAGCTCCCATTAACAATCGATATATTTTCATTGGCCCCATCCCCAGCCGCAGCCCCAGTCCCAGCCTTGGGAGGGGTCATGCAAGCAATTTGTGGGCAAAGTTTTATGTTTGGTTAGCCCTTTGCATTGTCTGTTGCCCCAACGGCAGGAGGAGCTTGAGTGTAGGAGACAGAAGACAGGATTGCAGCTCCTTCGATCCCCCGACATGCCTGCAGTTTGTGGCTCCTTCCGATGCCGGCTGCAGCTTAGCATAAAATCAAATTTCGTTGCTTAATTAATATGCATTCAGTGTCGGGGCCAGAACAAGGATCAAATTATGTAATAGCCGCATTAAAATTGAATTTCTCGAATGCGTGCCTCGTGGATAGTCGTAGCTCCATCTATATCTATTCCTCTACGCCTGTGTGTGTGTGTGTGTGGGTGGAATTGTATTTCTGTGCACGTGGCACGAATGCAGGCACCACCATCATAACATCGAGAGCACTAGTCCATTGGAAAATAGTCTAATTATCCGTAATTGAATACGACATGGTTAGTCGGTAGTCGGTAGTCGGTTGCCCCCCGCCCCGCTCTCTAAGTGGAAGCAATTATTTGTCTGTAGCTTCGATTGCAATTCAATTCAAGTGTTTAGATTATCAATTCCTTCCGTCGATTGTCGATTACGCCGTGCGGTCCTAGTGGCAATCAGTGTTCAAGCAATCGTTGCTCCATAATCCCCAGCAAATGCCATTGCAGTCCGTCTTATTGATAGTTTTCGATGATATCAGAAATGAGAATTTTCGGTTTTCATCTTCTATATAAGCGTATTAACAGAGTATCCCTACAGCTATCTGGGATCAAACTTTAAACAGCTGTTTGCATGCAGCATCATAAATCTTCATGAATATGGAGGCCCTGATGTCTCTGGATGACTTTCCAGGGACTTGAAATATATTTCAATTACGAGCAGAGCTCCTGGCATTCCTGGCACTTTCTGCTTGCCTGCCATTCGATCGGATGTCGATGCTTTTTATTGTCTAACTTGTGTAAGTATTACATTTTGTGTATGCCATAAATTAGGGCATAAGAGGCAATGGCTGGGAAATGGCTGTTCTTTGTTCATTGTTTTAATACCGACAAGAGAAAATAAATTCATTAAAAACTTTTTGGCCAATGCAAAAATCCCTTTTATTGACTTTTCAGTTGCGTGTGGGTTTTGTGAGGGGGGAATGTGCAAATATTTATATACGAGTATTTTGGCTAAAACTGCATGTTTCGACTGGATACTCGAACCGAATCGATTTGCTGACCAAATGAGTATATCTCTCCCTGCTTTCCACCGGCCTTTTTCCCTTTATCATAATCAGAATGGAAAACTTTGCCTTACTTTTACATTTATTGCTTCCTGCCCAGGCAGCCCTTTTGCCTGGCTGCAGTTTTCTTTGAATTTTATGAAAAAGAAATAGAACGTGAAAACTATTTCTTGTTTTCCACTTTTCCTGCTGCTTCTGCTCCCTGTGCTGCCTGTGCTCCCTGTGCTGGTGCCGCCAGGCAAGGAGACATTCAAGAAAGTTCTCAGGAATCGCCACAGAAGTAGATGCTATGCTGCACCACCAGAGGCGGGGGACCAGAAACCCAAAAACTTCCACTTGTCCGGCGATTGGGCAGTGGGCAGAGGAGGAGCAACTGCAACTGCCAGGATTTCCAGAGAGATGGCAACTTACAAATTTAGATTACGAGCGAACACAATTGCCACACATGTTTGCACAAATGCTGGCAAGATTGTTTAATTTCGTTTAATTAAATTGCAAATATTTTATTGTTGCAACAGCATTTTCCCCTTGTAGACCTTAAATTTTCTGTGGCAACATATGCACCACCCCATGCCCCGACCACTACGACTGCCACTACCACTGCCACTACCACAGCTGCTGTTGCAGTTGCAATTGCCCTGGGTGTGTGTGTGTGTGTTTGTGCGTGGACTTTAAAGAGTTGTGAGAACAGATAAAACGTGGCATTTAAAACAGTTTTCAGGCTGCTTGTTAAAGTTGAATTTTGAAAGGCTTTGCCACGGTTGAATGGCCTCGAATCGATTGCGATTTGGGGGGATATATTCATGGGTTGGGATATCGAGATCTCCAAGAATTTCGGAGGTAGGTCCAATAGAAGTAAAATAAGGGACAAAAGGGAGGATGCCCACAGGAATTTGATCCACTCGAGTGATTAATAACAGTACTGCTATGGTTATGGTTATGGCTAATTCCCACTAAATCGATAAGCAATCATCGAAATGGCACTCCTCGACACCTCTATAAATATTGAGAGTGTCAGGCACTTGATGCTAATGCAAATTCAGTCCGCTGCCAGCCATGTCCGTAACCCCATGCCTCAATAATTCACTTGACCACCTCAACGAGCACTTGATTGGCTCCGCTCCGAGTGGGGCACTGATGGGGGGGTGGCTGGAATAGCAGAGTCATCTCCCTGGCACGACCTTGGCAGTGCAAAACAAATCCCCCCGGCATCGGGCTTGGATGGAGGTAGATGGTGTCCTTCCTCCCCCTTTTCCTTGTTGAGTTTCTCCGCCTCTTTCTTCGTGCTTCTTTTAAGTGCCCCTTGTAGTTGTTGCCGTTGTCGTTATTTGTGTTTGCTCTGGCTTCTTTGGCAACAGAACAGAACCAAAAAAGAAAAACACTTTTAGCACGCATCGAGGAGGAAAACCAATAGAGCAGTGCAGACCAGACCCCAAAGAGCCATTCAATACATTCCATCTGCCCATCTACCTATCGAACCTTCGTGGTATCTTCTGGCATGGCCTCTCAGGAACTGTCCTGCTCACAATTCGATCACCAAAAAGGATTAATATTTGTGACGATGGTGGCTATAATCGTTCCTGCCAAGGGGCACTTTTCTGCTTGCAACATGTTCTGGTAATTACCCATTCCCTCCCTCTGTGTGGAGTGTGGGGGTGGCACTACTTCCACACTCTTCCCATATTCATGAATCCGTCAAGACTCATGACAACTCATCAAATTTTAAAGCATATTTACGGGCGGCTGCTCATTATTTTGATGCGCTTTGGCAAATGGATGGCCCAAATGGCTGGGTGGATGGCGGTGGGAGAGTCGGAGTGCCGGAGAATAACATGAAAACTGGAACTGTGTTGCACACACACGAGTACGAGTACGAGTACGAATATATGCAAATTAAACAGACCGCTTTTATTCGCCGGCACATTCTGACATCAAATTTGATTGTCTGCACTGTGCTCCCATCCCATGCCATCCCATCCCATCCCCATGTATAGTCCCATTCTCTCCATCATTCTATTCCATCCATCCACGGCTTTCCCACAGCCGTATTCAAGCCGGAGTCCCAACCTCTGTGCGAAATCCATACGTGAATGCATATGCATGAAACGGCATTATTTCGATGCTGCAAACAATAGAGGGAAAGATCCGAATCTCTGCTGCCTGGCACCTTCCTGTTCCTACTCCTGGTGCTGCTCCTCCTCCTGCTGGGACATGGACAAAACAACGCGTCATCCTGCCATTGTGCTAAACGCAACGGGTGGTCCACAACCCCATATTCCCCAGGATGCTGGGGG